AGTATGAACTTATAAAAACAGTAACTGTAAAACAGTAACAGTAAAATTACCTTAATTGACTGTAAAAGCAAATTCTTTCCTATTACCTACAAGAAGTCTCCTGGTTGGTAAATTTATACTCAAGACAGGGTCTCTGAATAGCATAACAGCTTGCAATACATCTCTCAACGCAGTATAGTAACCAGTTTACCATGATTTACATTGACTAATACTACATAATATACCTAGAACACTTTCCAATTAACGGTTTGATGTGTTGTTAGAAACATGACACAAATATCAGAAGGGAGATGCTTCCAAGTTCAGCAACTGTCCTCTTGAGGGCTCAGTGTTTCTCTGCACTCGTCCAGTCCATTTGCCCCATTGCTTCAAAACCTGCCAGAGGCACGAGCCAAGAGTTGAGGAACAAAAATAGGACAGAATCCTCTGTCTCGGAATTGCTAAGGCATCACTTCTTGGGACATCACTTGAAGATAGATGTTTGAAGGATGGCAGACCTTTCTTAACTTATAAGTCACTGAATAGATAAGAATGCATTCAATAATTTATGTTTGGAATCTACCAGTGCAATGTAAGAAAAAAAATCCCAAAGGGAAAAAAAAACAAGTAGGTCCATCGACACAAATTGGCAAAGAACTTGGTTAACAACTTGGTTAACAACTACCATCAACTTCAGTCTGTGCACGGCAGACCTCCAAGCAAGGACAATGCTTCTCTAGTGGTTGTTAGTTCAGCTATAAAGATGGAGAGAACTGGGGCCTAGAAAGAACACTTTCTAGAGGAAGTGTTCTAAAGGTTTCTACCATAAATATCTTAGAACGAGGTAAGTGTTAGAAGAGGAATCTGCAGGAAAAGCCTAGTACTTGAAGGCAGCTACGGAAAAATTAACTGTGGTATTTGATTGAATATAATAATTGCAGGTGACTACAACAGTTGGCTCAGGTTGTAAGGTGCTAGACTAAATAGTTTAATGGTAATACCTCTTCACTGTTATATCCACAAAGATAACAAAACTTGTTTATAGTAGCTCCAGAATAACCTCATGTTCATTTAAAATCATGACTACAATATATTCCAATACAACATTTCAAAAGAAGACAGAAGGTTCATTATTATTCAGTTTCTCTCATTCCTTCCCAGCTGCCAAAAAATCTGGAAAGTCCACATGTCTCTCATCAGGTTCTGCCATTTCTAAAGTATATTAAAATATGCATTCTCCCTTGTTTGAAATGTTCACATTCTACGATATATAGATTGGGCCTTATTTAACAAAATGTTAATTTTAAAGTAACATAGTAAGACAAGAGGAAAGACTTGATTCTCCAGAGATACTTACCGACATTCTGCTGAGTGACAGAATGAGCCCAGCCATTGAAGCCAAACATTTCATTGGCCAGACTGATCACCTTGTGACCCTCAATGTAGCAGACCTGGAAAGAAAAGCAAATTATACATATGCACATGTAGGCACATACATGTATTTCTTTTCTTTATGAAAAAGCGAGGAATCACACAGAGCACATTACAGTGTGGAAAAGGCAGCTAGGTGCAAGACTCAGAAAATCTGAAGGAAAGCAAAACAGAGCAACATTAGTTCCTCTCATCCCCACTGGCAGGAAAGGGTAAGAGAGCAAACAGGACTGAGGTACAGGAAGTACAGCTAGTGGGCACAGAAGAGGGAAAAATACACCTAGTGTTTATGTAATGCTTCGTATATTCCAGTTCTGAAAAATCAAGCAAATCTCAGTGTTCCAAAAGAAGATAAATATTCTCATTTAAAAGGTGAAGCATTGGATAAGCTGTGGTTTGCCTAAAGCAGGGAAAAACCCCATGGCTAAGGTAAGGCCACAATTCATGCTACTCTAACTTTGCTTTCACGCTTGCAAATTACCCTGCTAGTGGGAAATGAACAAAAATATTTGTTTTGATATTCCTGGAAAAAAAAAAAGACATACACCTATACATGCTTACTCAGTTTATCCATACCTTCTGTCCTCCTCCAGCTTGTCGACTGCTGATATATTCTGGACCCAGTTTCTGACGCAGAGCATCCTGGATAGCCTGGTATTCATTTGCTGTATATTGATACTTGAGGAAAACCAAGACAGACAAAGTTTTTCATTCTCCCCATGCAAGCTTTCTATCACCTCCTAACATCAACTCTTAATCCCATTTTTTCCACAGACAGTTTTACAGTACAGAAAACGTATGTAGGCAAAAGCCAGGCCCAGCCATCTGGGAATGAAAGAGCACCATTTTTATGAAACAAAATTGAAAACACTTTGTGAAGAATCTGGATTGATGTAGCATAGTCAGAATTATGCTGTGACTATTACAGAAGAACATGTAAAATTAGGCTTATGGGTCTGACTACAGCCTTATTCTACCTAGCTTTAAAATAAGCAGATATGCAATGCCAAAGAGCAAGTAGAGAAGCTTTGCTTTCTCTCAGGCTAAGAGCAACTGACCTGTCCAAAGCAAGCAACGGAACTGCCAGTGCTGGAACTGCTACTGCTGCCGCTGTGGCTTTCGCTGCTTTTCCTTTGACTTTCAGGCATCCCTGCAGACAAGAGGAGATACAACACTGAACAGCAGGTAACAGAACCAACAGTCCAAATGAAGAACGTCAGAAAGCTACGGAAGGCCACGGCCTGCGAGTGTAACAACGTTCTGTAAGTGGGGATATGCTGGACATTACACACAAGTTGTATTTCCCATTCTACAGGACTATTGCAGGCTCAGTGAAAATTGCTTTCTGATGTTGCTTCATCACAGTCAAAATGACTTATATCTTAAGCATAGGTTACATTATGCATGCATAAATGTTTGGTTTCATGCTAGAAACAGAGGTGCCGTTCCGGTCTTCCATCCCTAAAAGCATCAAGTGTGAGTGAGCTGATAAAGAATCAAGAAAAGTCACAGAAAGTACTAAAAACAACTCCTACTGGATTTCCCTGGATATGTACAAATCTATAGGGCAACTCACAGAACTACTAACATTTCTATTCATTGCTTTCTTTAGCATCAGTTTGGGTTCCTTCACTCATTTTCTGCTTTTTAAGCACCTGCCAAACTATAAGCAGCAGAAATCACATTTCTAGGGTGGATGAAAAGATTTTTTAAAAAACAAAGCTTGATTTACATGTCTTGTATGTCATTCCTACTATCAACATTCCTACTGAAATTTACATGTCTTGTATGTCATTCCTACTTTTCAGTAGGAATGTTGATAGTACACATGCTGTACTGCACTGTTCCTATTAGCAACTGTCCCTTCTTATGAGAGGTACATTTGTTGCAAGATTAGCAAAAAAATTTAACCACTGAAGGAAGACTGCAGTTGAAGCCTATGTGATTTTCTTATTACCTACTTCCTTTTCCGCTAGTCATTACATTAAATAAAGTAACAATTCCACTCATGTCACTTGAAGAACAAAAAAAATAATTCCTGTCAGAAAACTCAACTTCAGCAGCATCTGGATCCTGCACAAGAAGCAGAGACTAGAACACAATTTAAAAAAAAAAAAAAATCTAATTCTGAAGATTAAGCTCTTAGCAAAATTTTTTTTTCCTTTTAGGTATATGTGAACACATTTTTTATTTTTCTAGGTAAAGAAATAAATAGAAAGCAATTCCCTCTTCCAAATTCTTCAACACTATATCTCAGAGAATATTGAAAAAAAAGGCAGCAGCAACTTTCTAAGATTGTACCTGTTTTTATATGACGATTAGTCAGTCTTCATTTTATATTACTACTTTGATGGTAATCATGCTGTCTTGGGTTACGATGGTATCACATAAACTAAGCAGAACTGAAAAATACACAGAACTAGTAACTGTTTTAAGAAGTCAGGCTGATAATTCAGTAGATGGCACCCTTCACCAATACAGTACCCAAGGGCTGCTCGCTGTCACCTTGCCACACCATGGTGCTGGTGCATTGGTCTTCTAGCTGAGGCTCCTCAGAGTGCAAAAAGCCACAGGGACACACGTGCATGAGCCCACAGGGGCAACACAGAATCATAGAACCATAGAATGCTTAAAGTTGGAAGGGACCTCTAGAAGTCATCTAGTCCAACCCCCCTGCACACGTTTGCACAAATGCTGAGTACAGCTGGCTCTAGTCTATCCCCAAGGCTTCTGCATGCAGTACAAACCTAACACCCTTCAATACACATGCAAGGCACCAGCTGCAAAAAGTATAAAATCCTCAACAACTAGTGTTGTTTGACATGTAGTATTAATCCAACCAAACAGGTTCCACTACAGAAATACAGCCATATACTTTTTGTGCAATAAATATAATTTAAAACATGTCAATGACTTGTATTTAAATTATATTTAAATCATGAACTATTCTTGCTGATAGAAAGGAGACTTCAGTTCCAAGTCACTTATACTCCTATCAGTTCCCCTTCTTTCTTAACAAAACTTTTTTCTGAGCCCCGTACTCTGCCTTAATCCTGTGCTAAAAATGTCATTTCTCTTTGCACATGAGGTAGAAGCAGAAGAATCTCCTTTTGCAGGCAGCTTTGCATCACTTTGAAATGGCTTGTATACCCTTAAAAGTGTCACCACTTGGAAACCCTGAGGTAGAACTTGGCTCCTTTAATAAATTAGTTATAACACATTATATTCCATAAAACATAACTTTAACATAGACTATGTATTTTCAGAGGATTTTTATTTGGTATTTAACAGTCTTGAGCATTCTCTCAATAAGTGTAATTCCACAGAGCCCATCAAGAGCAATCAGGCTATGCATGTAGCAGTGAGTGATTTAACAAGCACTAAAGATAATACCTCATATTTAACCTAAAGTTCATGTTGCTATAAACAAGCAAACACAGAATCCCTGAAGACTCTTACATTTCTGTGCAGCATTCTCTCCTGAGGGAACTCTGAACTATTTTAAAGCTAACTGGTTTTACAGAACTTGCTTTATCTAACACAGGAGTGTCCATCTTTAAAGTGTAATGGGCCAAATACTCCTAATGAAGACAGGCCTGTGCTACATAAGTTTAAAGGGGCTGAAAAAAAAAAAAACAAATCATGAAATTGTCACGAAAAATTACAATTAAATGCTTCAGTTTTGACATCTGATAGTCAAGTATCCCTGCTGTCTTGAGAAGAGCTGATTTTTGACTTGTCTCCACTGATTTTTTTTGAACCACTCTTTTGAAAAAAATAGGTGCATATTAATAAAAGAGTAAAACAGCTTTGGACTTGACAAAGACCGGACTTGACAAACACCAGACTTGACAGAAATACTACTCAGATATCCCAGAATAAGTTACCTATATTGGTGCTTCTTTCAAACATACCAGACTGATTATAAGTGCATCATTATGTGTAAGCCACGTTAGTAATTACAAGGATGAGCCTTTTTGAGGATAAGGCTTTTTTAATGAAGTAATATTGGGGTTGTTTGGCACTTAAATGAAAACGCACTGTATCCAACTGTAAGCGTAAAGGGTTTGTTTTTGCCAAATGCCATTCTTAGGCAATAAATCCACGCCAGAGACTAAAACACCTGAATTTTGCAAGAAGCTGAGGGAGATCTATCAACCTGCAGATCAAAATAACACTGTGAGTAGCAAGGCCACACATTTATATTAAACTGCTGTGCTGGTTCAGTAATGACCGACCATCCCAAGCCTGCTTCGCTCCAGCTTGACACAGGCGTTCCTTAAGGGAAAATTACATATATTTGGAACTGAAAGAGAATACTTCAGGCATAAAGAAGCCTGTGTCTACCTTCACCCTTCTGCTTTTATAGGTAGTGATTTAAAACATCACGTATTTTTTACTGCATCTCTTGCCTATAATATTGCTATAATTTAAACATATAATTATAGCAGCGCTTCACCCGGGGTATATTATTTCTAAAAAAAAAAATAATAATTTAAGCTGGATCTGCGCTTCTACGATTGAAGCACTTTAAGTTATGGAGATCTCTACGGCCGCTAGCGTGACTGCGAGAAGCCCGAGACGCGCAGGGAGCGTCGCGCGTTAACGGTCGCGGCGTTAACGGTCGCGCGGTACCTGGGCGCGCGGGCCGCCTCCCCGCAGCAAAGCTCCGCAGTT